CCATCTGCGCCGTCTTCGTTTTCCCTAGCACGCAAAAATAGCTGTTTCTGTTCCGCTCCCCGCTGGCAGGGGACCTGCGCGGCCTGCCAAGGCGGGGGGAGCCCGCCAGCCTGCTGAGTTTCACTGTACACGCAGTTGGGGGGGTGTCTCTGTAACTTGAAATCCCCATCAGTAAACATACCAATTTAAAGTGTAATTAACTTAGGCCGGGAAGCATGCAGATCTGGCCTGCTTTTCACAGCTGAGGTTGTTTTTCTTTATTGATTTATCCCCTTCTGGTGCGGTGGTGTCTGGGGGGTTTAGCCAGGAGAAATCCAGGGGTGGCCCGACGCCGTCCACATCAGTCCGGGACGGTGGGTGCTCGGTGTGGAGACTGAGGCAGAAGGAAGTGGGTGCCGGGTCACCCTGCCCGGAGCCACCGCCCTGTCCTGCAGGCCCAGTGGTCACGCTGGGGGGCTGCATGGCCTCTGGCTGCCCTCTAACCCTCCTGCTCCCCTCAGTGCTGTTGCTGTCCCGCTCTGCTCACTCAGGCTTCACCTGGGAGTCACCGCCACTCCCCCCGGAACCCCCCCAGGCCTGATGGTCCCTTCTGGGGAGGCCTCAGGGCCCCGCGTCCGCCAAGACCAGCAAGGACGCTACTGCAGGTGCCCGGAGGCCAGGGCCACCCTCTGGGCAGTGGGGCAGGTGGCCAGATGACCCTTCCGGCCAAGTAGAAGGCGGGGGGAGGTGCCGCAGTTGGGGACCCCCCAACACACCTGGATGTCGGCAGATTATTTAATAAATATTCTATGGAAACGTGAATGTGTCCGTGTGTCTGTCTGTTCTCAGGGGTTCTGGCGGCCCCGAGGTTTCAGAGAAGGCCGTGGCCTCTGTCCAGGACCCCACACAGGGATCATGGTCCCCCAGTCAGGGCCCCCAACTCAGGAAGGCGCAGTTTCCTCCCCACTGGGGTCCCAGGCAGACCCCGGCCCACCGCTGGCCCCCCAGACACGGAGGCCGAGCCGACGGCCAGCTCGCAGCCCCCGCTGGTCACGACTCAGCCGCTGACTCACACTGGCCGGGAGGCGGCTCGTAAATTACACAATTACCTACGGAACCTGCCGCTGCCGCTCGCGGGGACACGCTCCGGCCGGTGACTCACGCCGCTCTCCCCAGAGCCTGTCTGGGCAGGGGGAGGGCGCGGGGGCGGTGGGGGCCGCGCCCTGCCCTGCGGGGTGGGGGCCCCCTCTGCAGCTCCCTCGAAGGGGGCCTGGGCAGAGGAGGAGGGAGACGCCCTCCTCGGCCGTCTGCCCACAGCCGGGGTGCTCTGGCCGCCCTGGCAGCCTTGGCTGAGCGCGCTGGCTGGGTACACCCTCACAACCCCCGCACCCACGCCCAGGGTTTGCCCTTCCCTGCACTCCCATGCTGGGCACTCAGCAGGAAAGCACTCCAGTGGGGGCAGTACCTGGGGGGACCCAAGGGGGGCGCTCTTGTTCTAGTGGAAAACCAAGTAGAAGGGTCTGGTGGGTGTGGGCGCAAGCCTTTGTCCCAGGCCTCAGGTCACTGGTCTACAAAGGGGGGTGCACCTCACAGAGGGGACAGGGGACAGTGTGAGTGGCTGGGCTAGGGGCTCTCTCCCGACGACCTGCTTCTGAGCACAATGGGGACCCCAGAGTTGGAAGGTCCATCAGGGTGGACGACTCTGGGTCTGGCCGAGCCCCAAACCACACCCCTGACTGTCCACACCCCTACTAGGGGGCCCCTGCACTCACAGCCCTACGCAGACACTCAGGAGCCCGGGGGCACGCACACACAGATGTGCCCAGAAAGCAGGCTGTGTGGGGAGACCGGCCTAAGCGCGGGGCAAGTGGCGTCCGGCTTCCACACCTGAGCTCTGGCCACTGGGCCGGCCGAGGGCGCGGCTGAACTGTGTGGCCTTGGGGGCACGGCCGTGGCTCTCTGAGCTAGTCTCCTCGCTTTCTGGAGGGTACTGGGGCGCCCGTGCCCCCACCCAGCACACAGATACTGTCTCACCCAGGTCTTGCCAACCTGCCCACACCCCCACTCCCAGGTTGGCTCAGACTGGGGGTGGCGCGGGCGCCACAGACCCCTCAGCTTGGCTCACCCAGTGGCTGCACCCTGCCTTGGGCCCTTGCCACAGAGGGAGAAAGGGGGCAGGACTCAGGCTCAGGGCGCCCTCTGTCCCCCAGAAGCAGAAGTGAGGCCTCACTCCCCACCCCTGGCCAGGCCAGGCAGGGCTGCTGCCTCCTGCTGTCTCCAGCCTGAGCATCAGTCTCCCTGTGGCTGACATTTCCCGAGGCCAGTCCAGGAGGGCTGGTGTGGAGGCCAGCTTGCACCGGGAGGAGCCAGCCTGGACCTCCCCAAGGCCATCTCTCCCAGGGCTGGGGAGGGTGAGATGGTGCAAACCACTGCCCACCTTGGGGTCACTTCATGGGTCCCCTGAAAACACCAGCCAGGGCTCTCTGAGTGCACCGCACCCCAGCAGATGGAAGGGCCAGTGACCCTCCGGGGCCTGAGTCCACTACCAGCAACAGGGACCCCCCTTTGGTCAGGAGAAGACCCCTCAGCACCAACTCTGGACCCAGGGAGTTCTTCCCTGGAGGCACCCCAGTTCCAAAGCTTCTGTCCACCCCTCTGGAAATGCCCACCCTCCTGGACCCCCCTTCACACGCCAGCACCCACTTTCAACTGGACAGTCAGGGGACCCCCTGCCAACATCTCCAGAAGTGGGGCTGCCTCGCCCCCACTCCAGCCGGGAGGTGGACGAGGGGCCTGGGCGCCTCTCGCAGGCGTGCAGGAGGCCGGGGCCAGGCCTGGGGAGGGGCCCCTGCTCCGTCACAGCTGCCCGGCCTGGGGTGAGGTACCTCTGTAAGGTGGCCGGTGGTAAGGACTGTGGGAGCCCCTTGAACGGGGGGGCAAAATTTGGGGTCCAGGGAAGTGGTGGATTTTGAGAGGTGCTGGGGTGGGGGGGGCGAAGACAGGCCCAGGGACTTAGTGGGGAGGGGTGGGTGGGCGCAGGCAGGGAAGGGGCTGGGCCCCATGCTAAGACGGCCATTGTGCCCCTGCTCACAAAGAACAGAAGGCGGGGGGACACAGACAGTGGACAGGGCTGCTGGATAGCACTGCATCAAGTGGCCGGAGCGCCGGGACATGGTCTATGGGGACAGGTGAGCCTTGGGGTGGGTGTTCAAGGGAGGGGGCGAGTGGAGACTCAGCCCCAGAACAATGGTGCAGGAGGAGGGAGAGGCTGGCAGGGCCTGGGAGGGCCGGGTCAAGGGGGGCTCGGGCTGGCCTTGCCCCGGGGACAGCACCTGAGGGCTAGGGGACCCGGGGCCACCGCCTTGGCCACTCACAGTGTGGGGCCTGTCGCAGGCCTGGGAACTTGTAGAAACCCGGCAGCAGGCCCCATGGGATGCCTGGGGTGGGGGGGGCGTCCTCTGACCTCGAGGCTCCTGCCTCACCCACACACCCCCTGAGAAGGGCTGCCTGGGTCAGGGTCCAGGAGGCACTCTAGGGCAGCAGCTGGCAAAGCCCTGCCCCTCTGTGGGAGGATAACCCCCGAGGCAGCTGGGCTGCCCAGAGGGAGGCCCACAGCCCCACAGGCGCCAGCGGCAGACCCCAGCGGGCAGCGCTGGGCCGGGCCACCTGCCGGGCCCTGAATCTAAGAATCTGCTGTGTGACCGGCGCAGGTCCTGGCCTCGGGGACTTCGGCTCCCCGGCCCTGGAAGCGCAGGGTGGGGTGCTCCAGGGAGCACCCACAGCGCTGCAGACGCCCGTGCTGCTGCCCTGACTTCCGGCCAAGGGCCCGCTGGAGTCAGCTTTGGGCTGCTGGTTCCGCTCGCTTTCTGGAAACCACAGCGCAGCCTCGCGAGGGCCTCCGCTTCCTCCTGACCTCCAGGGGCCGCCCCCTCCGGCCCACAGCCCCTCCAGAAGTGCTGGTGAGGCTAGAATAGGGGAGCTGGGGCGTTTAGGACGTCCAGCCCCCAGGCCCAGGATCTGAGCCCAAAGCCTCCAGCTCCCGGATGCCGGGTGGCGGCGGGGTCAGCAGGGGGCGCCCGAGTGGACGCTGCCCGGAGCCGCGGCTCCCAGAGGCCCTTCAGGCCCAGCGCCTGGCCTGAGCGGGCTGCCTGGGAGCTGCTTCCTTCACCCGGATTCTGCCTTCAGAGCGCCCCCTCCACACGGCCTCCCGGGTGTGGCTGTGGCTGTGGTCCCCGAGGTGGGTCGCGGGCAGAGCCTGTCGCGCCGCTAAGCTATTTAAGGGGCCTGTCGTCCCCCAACTCCCCAGGGCGCGTCGCCACAGGCCCACCCCGGTAGGGGGTCGCGTGCCCCTTCCCGGCCCGGCTGCACGCCAGGTTCCCCCAGGCGCCCGTGCGGGCGGACGGACCCAGTACGTGGAGCTCGGTGCTGCCTGCGGCTCCGGAAGCCGCTGGGGTTTGGGGTTTGTGTCCCCCCGGATAGGGGCCCACTCCATGCAAAGAGCAGAAAGGCCAGGGCCTGGCTTGGGCTCCCTGCTGGGCAGGATGCTGCAGGAGCCCACCTGTGCCTGGGAGCCGGTGGCGGCAGCAGGAGGCACCGAGCCGGGTTCGCCCTCCAGAGGAGCCTGGGGCAGCCACTGCAGGGAGCCGGCGGCTCCATCACCGACCCAGAGACCTCAGAGCCCACTCCTGGGGCTTAGCTCACCAGGACCGAGGGGAGGAGGTGCTGTGGGGCGGAGCAGCCGCCGCGTGTTTAACCCAGCCGGCAGGGCCGGGTGTTCTGTGGGGCAGGCTCCCAGGCAGTCCCCAGAGAGTCCCAGAGTTTCTAACTTTGGGGGATGTGGGCCGCAGAGGCCTGGTCTGGGCTGGTGGATGGGGTGGGGGTTCCTGTCCATCAGAGAACAAAGCTGGGCAGCTGGCAGATTCCAGGGGCGCAGGGTCAGCTTGGGCTTTTCTTCCTCCCTGGGAAGAGCAAGCCCAATCTCACCCTATCCTGATGAGTGCGCCCTGGAGCCAGGCGGGGTATAGGCATTATTCTTTAAACTAGGATTTCTTCCTCCCCTGAACCGCCCCCGCCCCCCAGCCTTACTGGGGTAGAATTGACAGAATGTACACTTGTATGTATTTAAGAGGCACAGTGGGAAGACCTGAGCTGTGAGGGGGACCGCAGCCAGACTGCGCTTGCTCTGGGGAGGAACACCTACGCCCTGTTGAGTTGCCCTTTGCTGCTGGAGAGATGCCCGGGGTCTCTCTCTGCGTTCAAACGGGCAGCACCATCATGGCTGTGATCCCCAGAATTTATTCGCCTTCCAATGGGAACTGTGTTGGGTCCCTCCCATCTTGGTCTCCCCATGTCCTTCAGTCTCGGTCAATTTCTTTGAGCTCAGTTCCTTTTGGGTTTTACATAAGATCAATCCCTCCAACTTTAACTGGCATGATGTCCTCAGGTTCCCCTACGTTGTCCCAAAGAGGAGGATCTCCTTTTTCATGACTGAATAATATTCCATCGAAGCATAATACATTGCCATTTCCTTGTGCGTCCATCTGTCAGCCCACAGGCTGGTTCCAAGCCTTGGCTGTTGTGAACCCTTTGAGACCCAGTTTTCCTGTCCTTCTGATGTCTACCCAGAGTGAGACTGCTGGGCCAGATGGTTCTGTAAGGGGAAGGATGTCTTAAAGGAACTCTGCAGTTTTGTGGACTCCACCCCCTGCTCCAGCTCTCTGGGCCCCGCCCCCTGCTCCAGTGATTGGAAACTACAACTCCCAGCAGCCCCAGGGAGAGAACTGCGAGGACTCAGGGCGGAGCTAGCATCATTCTTGGACTTTGGGGGATAAATAGGGCGCCATTTTCTATGGTGCCATTTTCTATGGTGCTCTCTCGTTCAGGCAACAGCGGCTCTCAGGACCGCGTGACTGGGGACTCTCAGCTTGTGACCAGCGCTCCAAGTCAGCCAAGCCGGTGAGATATTCCAGTTACCTTGTATTTCTCTCTCTTTCCCTGGGTTGTTCCTTTTCCTTCCCCTTTTGTAACTAAACCCCTTGTTGAGCCTTTTGTATGTGTCCACAGGACAACTGAATTTTAGGTGCTCAGGTGAGGACCCACAGACAGGCGGTCCCGGTCACACTTGGGTGCCCAGTAACAGTTCTGGTTTTGAACTTTTCATGAACCTCCATATTGTTTTCCACATTCCCACCCCAGGGCACGAGGACTCCCTTCTCTCACCTGCTCACCAGCACCTGTTGTCTCCTTGCCGTTTTCTCTTTTCACCGAAGGGACACCCGCTCACAGCGCCACACAGACACATTGGGTGCCATGTGGGTTTCACTCTAGGCTTGGCAACAAGTAGCTGTGGCAGTCAGTGAGGCCACACTGACTCTGGCTTCCCAGTGCGTATGTTCACGGCATTCCGCAGTCTATCCAAAGTGTACACACCTCAATTAGAGGTGACAGGGACACGAAGTGAGCGTGTGCCCTTGGGAAACTGGAGCCTACAGGCCCTCTCGACGCACGTTGTTACAAGCTCCAATGTGTAAAAATGCCAAATCTGCACAGTGCACTAAGGTCGACTCACGGTGAAATGGGGTGCATGCGCTGTGCATGACCCCCATCGAGAGTCAGGCTTCCCTCACCACCCACCCTGCCCGAGCCGGCCCCTTCCCCGGATGGGAGCCACACTGGTTCTCACTCCCAAAGTTTGTTTTCTCTGACATTTTTGAAAATAGCTCTCCTAACAGGTGTGGCTAGTGAACTCACTAGCTTTGATTTGCATTTCTCTGGTGATTACTGATGGCAAGTAGCTTTTCCTGTGCTTGCTGGTCATTTGAATATCTTTGGGAAAATGTTTATTCACGCCCTTTGCCCATTTTTTATATCAAGTTCTTATATCTTGGCTGTTGAGCAGAGTCCTTCTGCATCCTGAACGTGAGCCTCCTAAGGCTGGTGGCTTGCAGATGTCTCCTCATCCCACAGACTGCCTTTCCACTCTGTCCACTGCCCCAGAATTGTTAGTGTGATGTTGTTCCGCTTGTGTATTTTTGTTCTCACTCCCCGTGCTTTTGGTCGGCATCAGATTAAAAAAGTCACTACCAAGACCCATGTCAAGGAGCTTTGCCTCTGTGTTTACTTCTAGTAGTTCTATGATTCTAGGTCTTACATTTAAGTCTTTAATCCATTTCAAGTAAATTTTGGTGAGGGCGCAAGACAAGGGTCCAGCTTTATTCTTTGGTGTCCTGGTCAAAGGTCAGTGTTGGCAACGCTGGAGACGACTTGACCACTGTGACGCCCTCTTGTCCAAGGGCTCCATTTTGGGGGCTGGCCTCCCTTTTAGGTTCCTATGGAAAGTACCTGTCACTGTTTTGAAGCTGCTTGTTCCTGCTTTTGACAGCCGGCCTTTGTGCCTTGATGGATATCTGTAGTTACCTGAAACCGTGGCCCCTAACACATCTTGTTTGCACTATAGAAACAGCACTATAGAAATGACTGTGGTTTTGCCCTATAAAGCTGGTCACCTTGATCACTCAGGGTCTCTCTTGCCACCTGCCTTGGGGACATTGGTGCTCTAATACTTGGCTAATAAATCCTGCTGCTTTAAATCTCTCAGTGTGTCCGTTGAGTGCCCCGCGAGTTACAATAGTCAGCTCACAGTATGTGGACGGGTTCATTTCTGGACTATTCTATTCCATCAGCCACTGTGTCTGTCTGTCTGCCTACATGCTGCTGCTTGGACTCCAGCAGACATTTGAGATTAGGATGCTCGGTGGGTCCAGCCTTGTCCTTTTTCTCGATTGATTTGTTTATTTGGGATCTTTGGTGGTTCCATAAAACTATGTTCCCCAATTTCTGTGAAATTTGATAGGGGTTGCGTGCAATCTTAGTGTAGTACTGTGGGTGGTATAGACAATTCACAATATTAATTTTTCCAATCCAAGACCACAAGACAGCTCTCTGTGTCTTCTTCATTTCTTTCATCAATGTCTTACAGGTTTTAGTGTTCAGGTGAATTATTCATTGGTTAACTATTCTGAAGTATTTAACTGAAGTATTTAATTGTTTTGATGGTACATGGGATTCACTTAATTTTCTTTCAGGAAGGTTGTTGTTAATGTATAGAAGCTGAACTGACTTTTGTGTGATAGTTTTGTATTATACAACTTTATTAAATTCATGTAGGGTCTTTAGGGCATATAGCTAATATGTCACCTATAAAAAGAGATCATTTTCCTTCTTCCTTTCTGTTTTGGTTGCATTTTATTTCTTTTTCTTGCCTAATTTCTCTGACCAGGACTTCCAGCTTTGTTGAATAGAAGTGGTAAGCATGGACACCTGTGTCTTGTTCCTGGTCTTGCAGGTAAAGCTTTTACTCTTCCGTCAAGTGTGATGGTAGCTATGGGTTTGCCTGGTGTGGCCTCTATGATGTGGGTACATGCTTTCTAAGGCTGGTTTCTAGAGTGTGTTTATCATGAAAGGAGATTGAATTTTGTCAATTTTTAGTGGGATGGCCATATCATCTTTACTTTTCATCCCATTGATATAATAGATCTTACTCATGGGTTTGCCTGTGTTGAACTAGTCTATATCCAAGAAACAAACCCGCTTTACCATGAGGTCTGAGCTTTCACTGTTGAATTCAGATTGCTACTATGCTTTTCATTGTTCTTTTCCTCACCATCATCCTTCCCACCCTCTAGCCCTGGCCCTGACCCTGTCCACTTACAATCCTCCCCCTTAGCCTCAGAGCCCTCGCTGATTTTATGCTCCCTAGTTTTTACATTTTACTTTATCAAATTGTCCATTATATAAATGTCCAATTTTTTTTTTTATCGTTCTGACTTGCTTTACTGCGTGCAGCTACCTCAAACTCCCTCCCTTTTGTTGGAAAGACTCCATTTCAGCTTTCTTTTTTAAAGATGTATTTACTTAATGTGTGTAAGAACTGGGGTACATGGTGTCGTCTTTTGAGCTCGGGGTCCTTGGGTTCACTCTGGGAAAGGTTTCGCCAGACTTCCCCTTTCAGCAGCACATGGCGAGATTCTCCATGAGGCAGAAACTCAATTAGATTTTTTTTTTTAAAAAAGATTTATTTATTTGTGCATACAGAACTGGGTACAGGCCAGAGATATAGGGACGGTGAGAGAATTCGCCACACACAGAGCAGGGAGCAGAACAGGCAGATCCATGAAGTCCACTGCTGAGGGGAGCAGCGGGCAGGTCAGGAGAGGTCTGCCACCCCATGTGCATCACCTTTGGGGCAGACGGGGATTGAACTCATGCTGC